ATTTCAAGTACTGAAATAAATGTTAAACTGAATGTTAGTTTGGCATAATTTCAGTAATTCCCAATACCAAACGGTAGGAGCATGGTAGGAGGTTCTTCCCCTACGTCACTTTTTCCCCTAGTGGAAGCAGAGTTTGCTCGCGAGTGTACATACAGACTCGTCTCGATTATCGTCCCGAACTCGGGTTCGCGCCGGGACAATAATCTTACAGGAAGAAATGTTTCAGACCCTCGTAAATTCGTTTTTTGCCCGAAGCCCGAACCTCGGCAGCGAAAACGGAGGGCAACAAAGTATGCGCTTAACAGGTAAAAATAATAATAATAATAATAATAATAATAATAATAATAATAACAATAACAATAATAATAATAATAATAATAATAATAATAATAATAATCGTGTAGAATAAACCAGACGATAATCGAGAGGAGTATGCACATACATACATACATCGACAACTACATAGAGTAGTAAACTCTACGCGATTCTAGAGTGAGAATTACCTTGTCGAGTGGTTGTCGAGAGCGCGTAGGGCTCGCCGATGATCCATGGTGCTGGTGATGATGCTGATGGTGGTGTTGGTGATGGTGATTATTGTGGTGGTGATGGTTGTTGTGATGATGATCTTGCTGAGGGCGTCTCATCCCAGTTTGCCTACACCGCGACCCGCTGCCGCACTGACCAAATCGACAAACATTACCTTTTTTTCTCTATAGTTCCAATTCTCGTGACGAACGAACGAGGATAGGATTCTCGGCCTGATCGACTTATTATGCTGAAAGAGAAACCCCAATTTCGATAATAGTTCACTCGTTCGTTCGTTCGTTTAATATTTTCCGTTAAAAGTATCTGCCCAAGTATGCAACAGGCTTAAACAGTCCTCGATCGTCCGATATACGCATGGAACAATGGGTGCTGCGATTACATGTGTTTTTAAAAGAAGGCAGACTCAGGACTATCGATACACCTTCTTGTGAGACGCATTTCACAATACAAATGTACGACCTCGATGACAACAGTGACTCGCAAGACTCATTGTCCCACCGTAAGTGTTAGTAGCGTAATAACTCGTTGAAAGAAGGGACTCACAATGCACTCCCTCGCGACCCTCCACAGGTTGAAGTAAACCGAGTTCAGCCTGGAATCTAGCGCGGTGCTACACTCTTCTTCCCACGTTTTCTTCGCTTGTTGTTCTTGCCCGTCGCTGTCGTTTATTTCGACGGATTCCCCTCCCGTTCATACACGTCGCGAGATCACAATGATTTGGCAGTGCGTTCAAATTCTCTTGGGCCTTCGTGTTTAAGCTACGCACTATCCGTCAATCTGCTTTTTCAGGTGAACGTTTACTAGCTATCAAACTTAAGACACGAGGTGGTTAAAGACAAGATAGGCAGGCAGAGAGAGAAAGAAAGAAAAAAAAAGAGGAGGGTAAAATGGGGAGGTGGTAAGAGTAGGAGAAGAAAAGATCGCTCGAACGGAGGGCAAGGAACGACGTGTGGAGTAAACGGATGATCGCGAGAAATCGAGAAACGGGCAGGCACGAATTTCCCAAATAAGATGCCGTCGGCGAAAATAGAGTCTTTCGTCGACGCAGCACACGCACAGTACCCTCGGTGGTCAATGTTTAAGCCAACTTCGGCAACCGATACGACGTTAAAAAGAGAACCTTCGACTCGATTAGTTTTGGGTTCATGTCCCTATCACGGCACATCGCATCGAGCCCTTTCACATAGGCGGAAGGGCACTGCCTATGGTTGCTTCAAGAAGTGAGTCGACACCAGTCGTAGCGTAAGCATCGAGGCTCGAAAGAGCCGAGGATGAGTTTTAGGTCACCACTCCGCTCCTTGCCCTGGCATGGTCCACGTGTCTCCTCTTGCGCTTTTACCGCAGTTTGTTTCTGAAATTAAAACGAACCGTCGTCATTCAATGGACACCAAATCTCGACTTGTTGTTTGGGATAAAGCTCCATAAAAGTGTCATGAAAACGTTGACCCTAAAATCTTCAACCGCTTCTACCAGCTATCGAAATTCAAACAACTCCAGCTGTTCGTTTCAGTCGATTTTAGAAAAATTTCGCGAACGTTGGGTACGCAGTTCGATTCCATAACGTGGTCACCGATGAGTTCACTGTACACTTATCAGAAATGTCCACGGAAGTCACGGTGACACCTGACGTAACGCGGCGAAAGCTCAAGAGCTTTTTCTTCGATCGGTTGTGTAGGTTCCGTGGCCGAGCTCGATGGTGCCAGGAGCAGCGTTACACGTTCCAGAACGTTCATTTCATTACAATTACGCGAAGATGGATTGTATCGATCGCGAAATGCAATCTCAACTTCCTGGTAAACACACGAAAAAACTTGAACGAATTCGTCCCGATGGCACGATACTGATGACGATGACACGACGGTATATGTATGTGCGATCCATCCGACGTTGTTTACTTTTGGGCAAAAACTAAAGTAGAACAAACGTAATGACGGTGATCACATTGTTTCCAAATTGTACTATCCGTTCGTATTTTCGAGTGGCTAACTGTTGTTGGATTGTAACGATACGATCGAGAATCGAATGAAAACGAGAAACGTGAACTGTTACGACTCGGATGGACTCGAAAGTTCTCGGAGGTTTCCGTATCGGCGTGACAAGAACTGAACGGAAAAGGACAAACTGTTAAATGCTGCAAACGATTCGTTGCAAATATATATATATATATATTAAAAAAAAATATGTGTGTATGCCACTGTATGCATATGCACCTCAAGATCACGAACGAAACCATAAAGATCGGGACATGGTCCGGACACTGGCGACCATAGAGAGCAACACTGAGTATTCACGACCGCGATTCTTCTTCGTAGTTACTCCCTTCCTGGTATCCCCCCCCCCCCAGTTCATCCCTTAACTATATACTCTATATATCCGACAGCCCCTACTGTTCTGCTTCGCTCCGGTTCGTTGGCGAACGGAACTCGACACGGCGCTTCCACCGTGCCCGCGTACCTATGATATCCCCTTGGCAGCAAATATCGCGAAGACGAGGGCGCATGCACCGCCTCCGACAATCAATAGACCGTTCTGGTCACGTGAAGCATTCGCGTGGAAACAGAGAGAGGAAGGGGAAGCACACAGCAGGTAGGGAAAAAGAGGGGGCATGAGAAATAGGAGGGAGGGAGAGGAGAAGGACAAAAGAAACGAAAGTTGAACCTCCAGAAACAGGAAAAGTAGCAAAGGAGACAAACACCTCCAAAAGAGAATCAAGGATGAATGAAAAAAAAACAGAGAAGGAAAAAAGGGACAGAGAATCAAATGTAAAAGGGAAGACAGAAAAGAAGCGAGACAGCAAAAGATTAAACAGAAGAAAATACCAAGACGGAAGAAAACGAAAGGATAGGTCGACACTGATTCCGTATCGAATCCTTGAGAATCAAAACTTTTCCACAAGATACGTTATGTTAATGGTTTTATCCTATCTACTTTAACACTGGGTACATTTAAAGAGATTGTAGATACGATGTTGATTTTTCATAGTTTTCTTGTTTTCGTAATAGTCCACCCAGTCATCGTGATTTGCTCACGAGATTCGTGCAAAAGTATGAAATGTGTCGCAAATGTAATTGACTTTTTGGTAGATTGCATTGTCTGGAATATGTTTGTGTAGAAATATTTTGTACAGACACGTGACCATCGACTTCGAGTCCTTTATATCCCAACCCACCCTATGCGTCCTCGAAATCCCATTCAGCCAAGTCCATGAATGGAATTATCACTTCGAATCCTTAAAACATAATATTTTTCCTGCCTCTTTCTTCAAATTTATATAAAAAAAAAAAAAAAAAAAAAAAAAAAAAAAAACGGAAAGTTCTGTCAGTTTTTGAATTAACAGAAAATAATACCTGTTCGATGCATTTAGTAATATTTACTGAACAATATAATTTCCATCATTTAATCACCCTGTACAATGGTAAAAAGAGGCAGCCATATATGTTTCCTAGCCATATATGTTTATTATAGACCTAATATTTACCTTCATGAGTGAATATCATTAAAAAAAGTATTCGAGTTCGGAAAGCTACGACTTGATTTGTACGTATTGTTCTTACACGGTGTCAATAATTCTTGGCAAATGAAAATTCTCCGATTTTATGACGCCATTTGACGCATGGTAACACAGTACACATGTATCTATTCGAACGTTATGCGTAACGCTATGTCGTATCAACGAGAATAGAACATACGCGAGCAATGACCCCTTGTAGGAATGCATATGCAGAAGCACTCAACGTACACTCGTAAAATTCGTTTCAACGTCAAATCCATGTCACTGTATGGAACTTTATCAAAGTTTACTATTTGACGTTGACCGTCCACATGTCTTCCCTCTAGTACGAATTTGGAACATAAAGGTTAACACACGACACGCTCCGTCCGTAGCTAAAATGTTTTCATTTCCACTGATTTCCATTAAACACTTATACAAACGAAGAACGACCGTTTTCTTTGCACACACGTCAATACGTTAACATTTTTACCAGAGTATTTATCCTAATGTTGCAATATCGATTCTAATTATTCAAAACACACAAGTATTTACCAATGAATCGAAAATATGTGTTCTGTGTGGATCAAACGAAGGAGGAATGGACATATCGAATAAAAATGTACGTGGCATTCAAATTAAAGGATAAACTTTACATATATTATCTTGCTTTCAACATACCTTAATATCCGTGTTACGGCGTGGTCGAGCCTGCCACGAGTTTCCCCTTTTCTTCAAAATTCGCAAGAGATTCGATGGAAACGAATTTCGTCGAGAACGAATCCCATTGTTATTAAAATTAACGTTTCACCAGAGGTTGCTGTAGTGAACGGAAAGCGTGGAAAACAAACGGTTTATTGATCGATACAATTTACGTTTACGCTTTAGTACAATGCATGCAAACACGCCGTGACATTATGTAAACGATTCACCAATGGAATATTTCTTCTTAAATTTTAAATTTGAATTACGGAGCTGAATATAGGATTTTCAATCTTCTAGATTCTAGAATGTAATTTAAGAAACACGACTGAGTTATTCGTGAACGACTATCAACTTTGAAACACCGGCACTGAAGTTAGACACGCCATATTAGTTATACGGCGGGTTTAAAGGGACTCGACTGATACAACAATTCGACAATACCACTGCATTCTGGATAACATAGGTACTTACCTACGGTTCATATCGATAATATCGATGAAAATTCTCGCCATAAAATACGTTGTAATAGGAAAAATTAAAAGTAATCAATATATTTCATAACAAGCAAGTAAACCTTGTTAAGAATTAGTTTGTTTCCAAAATGTTTATTCTGGAAGAAACATTGACATAGGAAATATATTTCTTCAAGTTTTTCGAAACAGGTATAATTGCGAATTACGCTGAACATTATTGTATATATATATAATTTAAAGGTAAGATGTGACATCTCACAGCCTACTTACTAATACATAAGTGATAAAGTATTCTTAAAGCTGTAATAAGCTAATATTGAGATAAAACTAGTTTCTCTAATAAAACTCTTCGATGATGGATTTATGTATTACTTAAAAAAGAATTATTAAAGCAGAATATAAATATTCATTATAAACATGATATATGTAAACATATCTTTAAACAAAAAACATTGGTGAATTCTGCATTTGTAAAGACATATTCTTTTGTTGCTCCTCCGCGAGGTTGGCCATATTTAAAGGCACGCTACAAAAATGTACATTAATGTAATGTATTGCGGAACGGCGTAGACAGCCGTATAAAAAAAAAAGAAAAAAAACTTACTTGTGTATGAGTGCCCTGGCCCTGAAAGCAGCTAAATGAGCATAATAAGTAGGCGTGGGATAGCTAACCGATCTAGTGCAGCGTGCGAACATATGACAAAGGTAGTATGTTAGTTGTTCAATTTCATCTTCTGACATCCCAATTTCGTTGCATATGCATCTATATTTTGTTGGTCTGGCAGTACCCTATAAAAATTTGTTGTATTTATAAAACCTTCAATGCTTGCACGATACAGACAACACGAATAGAAGCCATAATATTCGTAGCACATATTAGATATCATTATGTATACGTACTTGAATACTAGCATGCGACACAAGGTAGAAATCTATATGAGTTGGATGGGTAATTGTTGTATCAACAATCGTACCGGCTTGTACGTTAAAGTTTCTATCGTCTGAATTCCTTTTATCGGTAGGAAAAAGACGCACATGATGTCTCTTTTGAACCACAAGAAATATTATTGGAATTTGATGCGTGTCGCTTTTCTCCAGGTGCGCGATAGCTTTTTTTATAGCATTTAATTCAAAATGCATCACTTGAGGAAGTTGGCCTTCGCTCACGCCGTCTCTGCAGAAGCGTCGAAAATCTAAATATTCGCTAAACGAATTCCTTGTTAAAATTTCTTAAACAATATTTACCGATAGAAAATGACTTTTTCTGGTTTATGCCCTGTTTGCCGATAAAAGAATAATAACTGCTTGCGCATGATCGCTTCAAGATCTTGAATCATTTCTTCCCTCGGCGCTTGGAGTCTCAATTCAATGTTATATTGAAAAGCCAATGGATCGTGACTTGCGGCGACCTTAACAGCAACATTATTAAATAAAATAATACAGAGAGGCAATTTGCGATTATTCTTACCGCTGCGATTGAAGGTATGTCCACAGCATCGGGGGACGGATGTGTTACGTCCGCGCCAACCAACATACATGGTCTCTCCAAGCAAGGTGGACTAAAAAAAAACAAAACAAAAACAATATTTTATACGCATAATTAATACATCCAAAACCGAAATTTATAGAGTATTTGTCGGTAACAGTCAATCCTACCGGCGTTCGAACGTATGATTAATTCCGTTCAGCTTGGAATTAATCTTCAACAAAATATTCGTAACCGTCGCGTCAGACATTTTTCTTAATGTCTGCGCTTTTAAGCACTGAGTTACTATACCACCTTTTATTTGCAATTCGGAAATTTGCTTAACCAGACCTGAAAATAAAAATGGCAATACAGTTTAAGAATGTTTCTTTGATATTAAATGAACTTCCGTGACGTTACTTACTGTATGCATTGTCAAAATTTGGAATTACTACAACCACTAGTCGTAAATTCAGTTTCTTTTGGTCTTCGAAATACTGCGAGATATTACTAAAATTTCTACCTGCTATAGTTAAGGTCGCAAATGGTGTTAGTGCTTTTCCAATTGACATATTGATGAATTTAGCTAAAAAATAACAGCGGAGAAAGACCATTACTCACGATTTTATAGATTATGTTACATCTACCCCATTGTATACGTAATTAGTTAAAAATGTATCTTCGAATAAGATACTAACCGCCGTTTAGTAATTTATCATGTAAATTCTCATACAAATCACGATTCTGCGTATATTTGTCCAAATTCAAAATAGTCCATGAATTCTCTGGTAGACTGGATGGTTTTAAAAATCTATCTGCCCGCCATACTCCTTTCAGTACGTTAACCGGTTCTTTAGTATCGTACCGTAATCTTGGAGCTTGGAGTACTCTAGCCGGTACTTTCTCAAATTCTCCACTTACAGACAAGTTAAATTCCTTCATTAAGGTTGGTTGCTCATTTAGTCTCATCTTTGCAAACTAAAAGCATTTCGATGTTTTAACAGGTGTAAAATCAAAATATTTATAATGCTTAGATACATAATATTCCTACTCCGCTCAAGATTTTTTCTTTACGTGTTTGAGTGTTGGTCGCTGCTTCTCTAATCATTTTCGACGTTTGAGTTTCATCCAATTTCTTTTGCGTGACTTGCCCGGCCACAATTGTACACAACTGTGCATATAAATAAAAACTGTATATTTTTACGGATAATGCCTTAAACTAATCTATTCCTCCGTGTATTCATATGTACATACTTCGATAGGTAGATGTATCTTCCGGGTACTCGTTCGAGATCCCACCCAAAGACAAGGCAGCTCGGGGTATTGTATCCTATATCCTTTTTGTTGTGAAAAATAATCTTCCACTGTGCAGGATGTTCCATTTTCTAAGGAGAATTTATTTTTCCTTGGGCACTCAACCAATCCATTTACTCTGTATGTCCTTTTACTACTTTCTTGACCAGGTATTTTATACTGAACCTTTAATCCTTTCAGAAACTTGGTGATTTTCTCAGAGTTGTATTGTATATCTCTTGCCGTTACATTCACCAACGGTTCGTAACTTCTGGGTGGTTTACAAAGGTCTTTTATCAAATTAATAACCGACTGAGGGGTTGGAAATCCTTTGTGGGCAACTAATTACAAAATATAATAAATTTATTAATTAATAATATCACGTGTAAGCATGGTGGAAACACATTGAAGAAAAAATGAAAGAGTACATGAAAGTTTAAATGTAATAAAACTATAATAGTTTAGATTTAAAAAAAACAGTCTTCATAAATAAATACAATTATAGTAGTACACTACCATCTATGTTTAAATAAGGTTTCCATCCGATCACGGCAGACTGGAATACACCAACCCACAAGTCTACTCCATTTGACAATGATACAACTCTGCCTGGTTCTGGGTGTTGAAAAAGTGATCTGCCTACCTATTTTAGAATTATCATTTCTTATGAATAAATAATTATACGTGATTATTAATTATAAGTAATTATTATACAATTCGAATTGGCCAACATGATCTTCAGACTTAATAGAAAGAATGTTTACCCTGTAAACTAACTTACAGTAATAGAATGATACGCAGGGCCATTTCGCAGGATGATATCCAAGGCTTGTATTCCCTGCTGTTCTTTATGCATTTCGTTGAAATTGTAATTTATATTTTTTAACCATGACAAATCAAGAACTGCAGCTTTCTTCATATACATTCTGAAAGTGCGTGTTTGTTGACGTTCTTCATCAAAAACCTGTATCTCCTCTTCTTTCTATAAAAAAAAACACATACTATATGTAGTACATATTTTCGAATTGTAGACTTACATACAATATATTAACTTTATTTAACAACATATTTAGTTTACTGTATTCTTTCAGAGATTACAGTTGTGACTGTAAAACATAAACGAACTTAACGTACACTACAATCACCAAAAGGAAGATTTCCTGCACTATATGCATTCTTTTTTCCATCATACGCTGGGTACCTATTTGGAAAATACTTCTTCCTAAATTCCTCAAAAATTGGTCTCATTAAAAACTTTGGTTTATCTGGATCAATAACTACATCATAATGTACAACATCTGTCTTAAATGTTGAAGGAAAATTAATTTTAAACATATTAGTCTCCACAACAATCTTTCTTCCAGCTTTTCCTCCCTCAGCACTGGTTCTCTTTGGTATTTGTTCCAAATACATTTCTTGCAAAGAAAACGGTAGTACAGACTTTCTAGAACCCGGTCTCGCTTTAAAAGTTTCCTGAAAAATAAATAAGGAAAAAATTACTATGATAATTATATATGGAATTGTTATATTACTTGACTATCTATTTACCAGTTGCTTGGCTGCAGCCGAAGATATTGGGGATACTTGCTGTGGAGTACTTGGTTCAGGTTGCTGCTCGGATTCTTGCTGTGGAATAATTGGTGTAGATTGCTGCTGGGATCCTTGCTGTGGGGTAGTTGGTCTTTGTTGCCAGGGACCACGCAGCCCTTGTTGCTGTGGAGCAGTTGGTCCTTGTTGCTGAGGAACACTCGGTCTTTGTTGCTGTGGAGCAGTTGGCCCTTGTTGCTGAGGAACACTCTGTCTTTGTTGCCAGGGACCATGCGGCCCTTGTTGCTGAGGAACACTCTGTCTTTGTTGCCAGGGACCATGCGGCCCTTGTTGCTGTCGAGCAGTTGGTCCTTGTTGCTGAGGAACACTCTGTGTTTGTTGCCTGGGACCACGCTGCCCTTGTTGCTGCGGAGCAGTTGGTCTTTGTTGCCAGGGACCACGCTGCCCTTGTTGCTGTGGAGCAGTTGGTCTTTGTTGCCAGGGACCACGCTGCCCTTGTTGCTGTGAATCAGTTGGTCTTTGTTGCTGTGGAGCAGTTGGTCCTTGTTGCTGAGGAACACTCTGTCTTTGTTGCTGTGGAGCAGTTGGTCCTTGTTGCTGAGGAACACTAGGTCTTTGTTGCCAGGCACCATGCTGCCCTTGTTGCTGTGGAGCAGTTGGTTGTTGTTGCTGTGGTTGACCTTGTCTCTGTTGTTGTGAACCACCTTGTCTCTGTTGTTGCTGAGACTGGTCCTGTGAATCACCTCGTCTCTGTTGTCCCTGAGACCCATCTTGTGAAACAGTTGAACTCTGTTGTTGTGGAGCATCTGGAGTCTGTTGCTGTGAAGGAGGTGCTACTGGCTCTCCTTCCTTTTGCGCTTTTTTTCCTTTCCCTATATATGGTAAACATTTTCATTACTTGTTTGCTATGGTACGACACAATATGTCCTATTATAAATGTTTTAATTTGTACGAGAATACACTGTAGTACCTTTTTTCCCCATCTTATGAAGTTGTTAATTAACTACTCCGAATAAAACTCGCCGCTTCGTAGGTATCTAGAAATAAATGTAATTCTTACTTCTGCTACTACACAAAATATTAAACTAATAGTTAATTTTCATTCCGTATGCACCAAATTATAGGCACAATTACATCACCTTTTTCACTTGTTACTGCTTGTTACACTATTGCGTAGCACGTTATACCACTTTCTACAAAGTTCTGAACAGTTCTGGATATCCCTGGATATCCCGTGTAAATATCGACGGCTTTGCTAGGTATTGATTGTAATTCTACCAACTTACAAGTTAAAAGTATATACCGAGATTCTTCCTTATGCCTGAATGGTAGAACCGGTTTTATTACTATTTTTAACCAATCAGAAGTCAAATAGCTGTTTTGTGTACTGCGGTATAGTTAAAAGCAGAGAGGAAATCTGTTAAAAGTTATGTCCTATGATACTCATGCTTTCATACAATACGTAATTTAGTCTGAAAATTACTCATACACCGTGCCAATTACGAGTAAAAAATTTGTCGAATGCTGTCAAATATCTGTAGAATTTTCTTAAGTCGATATTATGCAACTACAATCATTTATTGTGATTTTCTTTACTATAATTTCATTTAAAAACATATTTAATGGTACATAAATATGAATCAAAAACTTCTGGCACCATCTACGGTAAAACGTCTAAACTCTAAGCTAAAACAGTATGTCATTGTATCGTTTGATGGCGCCAAACTGGTTTTACAAGCTGCTTTGGTAAGAAAACTGTGTATGCATCTGCGTCAATTGTGTTCTACTTCACTATCCAGAATTGAAAACGTGAGGTCACGGAGCCCCCGGTGGAGGCGCCATAGACCCTGCACGGTGAGAGCGTGGGGTCACGGAGGCCCCGGTGGAGGCGCCATTGATCACGTGGGGTGAGAGCTTGGGGTCACGGAGCCCCCGGTGGAGACGCTATAGACCCTGCGCGGTTAGAGCGTGGGGTCACGGAGCCCCGGTGGAGGCGCCGTAGACCCTGCACGGAGGTCCCGGTGGAGGCGCCTTTGATCACGTGGGCTGAGAATGTGGGGTCACGGAGCCCCCGAAGCATGCTGAAGACACCCCGTGTGTGTGAGATGTATGATGTAGAATTAGAATTTCAACGATTTATAAATAAAAGTACACACGGCTGAACTCGACGATAAATTTATTAATAAAATTATTTACAAAACTTAGGATCGATAAATTAAACATCAAAACTGAACATCTGAAATAATCAATAAATTATTAACAAACTTCAATATTCAAAATTAACGTATTCGAATACGTTAATTTTGAAAAACGTATTCAATACGATTTTACGATAATTACATTACTATTCGTGTTTGTAAACATCAGTAGAAAAAACAAGAAATTCTAAAAAAATGATTTGCTAGGTAACATGTAGATTATAATTTGTAATCATTAATTTATTCATTATTCTTCATTGTTTCTACTTATTCCTTCACTTTATACGATATAACCCTAATTTTTGTTTTGATGTCGTTAATGTGAAATATACAAATTATGTATCGCGTGTAAAGAACTGTTAGGTTTCTCCATCAATAAGAAACAATCACGGGAAATCACGAATCACTGTGACAAAATCATCGTGATTGGGAACGAACGTGATCGAATCACGAGTGATTCACAAGTAGCAGTTCACGCCATCTCTAATCCAGATGAGGTACATACATACACAAGTATTGTATATGCTATATAGTATATGATACTCTTTTGTGCTCATCTGTGATCTACAATGTGATTCAGATTGGATAGTGTGGATAGTAGCTTATGCATTTTGCAGTTGGTGATGGTTGGTGATGCCATGGGTCTTTTGGTCACAGCGTTTATCATTATAGATTTTAAAATGATATATTAATAAAAGATATTCAACGATCGGTATAATACGATATCATTTCGAATAAATTTTTAATCGCAATTTACATGCTTTTCTTATAACACTCAAAATGCTTTACGTCCCATATTGGATGTCATGACATAAGAGAGAACTCCGATTTTGGTTGCTGACACTTGGATTACTGAAGTTGGGTAAACAACTATTTTATACAATGGTCAACCTGTAGACATTGAGCAACATCGAGTGAAAGAAGTGTGATTCCATAGCATACTTACCTATGTCTATGGTTGATTCATTTAAGCAAAATTCAATATAGATTGACTCAACCACGAACCTAACATTCAGCGAGAGAACCACGGTTGCCGCAATGGTGGTAGTGGCTGTTATGTTTCTTCGAAGAATAATGGGAAGATGGCGACGTATTTAAAGCGAACGTCAAAATTGTTTGATATTTCTTTGTCACGACCATCGATGGACATTAGTCTTAGAGATTTAATATGTCCAGTGTGCCGTAGTATTCTTATTGAACCAGTAACGTTACCGTGTACACACAATTTATGTTTAAGATGCCTGAAGGGTACATTCGAACATAATAGCTTGAGCTGTCCTCTCTGCAGAGTAAGAGTTGGTTCTTGGCTACGTACAGCGACCAAGACTGAAACATTAGTTAATAACGGTCTCTGGGATCTGATCCGAACGAAATTTCCAAAAGAGGTGCAGGACAAATACAACGGCGAAGACAAAGATATTGAATTGGATACTGGTGAGTTTCTTATCAGTGAAGATAAACAAACGTAACATAACCTCTGTCAGTAGCATACACACACACAAATTATATCCGTACATGAATCAGTGACCACCCATGTAGTTTTATGCTTTACAATACAACACTGAACACCATGTGGTAACAAATTTTGTTTACATAACTAACTTCACTTGTGTATCATTTTGCTATTTAAGTGTATTTTAAAGAATTGATTTATTTCTGTGTAAAACTTCACATATGATCATTCACTTAACAGAGAAGTGTAAGCATTATATTTTATTTTTTCATATAGATTTTGCTACTGCTAATAAATTACTCAGCGCAGCTGGAGAAATTCGCAGAGAATATGAAGTGCAACTTCAAATGGTTGAAGAGGAAATACAATGTCAAAGAAAGGCTGAACAAATGGCCAGTGAAGCTTTGATTCGCAAGATCCAAGAGGAGGATCAGCAGCAACAGTTGGTTCAGTTGGCTCAGGATCAATTACTCGCCAAGTCTTTAGTCAAAAAGCAAATTGTAGAGAAGCATAAGGATATCTCTAAATGTTACAATGATTGTCCTAGTACGTCTAATAGTTCTTTGCAAACATCAAAATTTAATACAGCTGCTATGACCGAAGTAAATGCATACAGACTGCAGTTTCATAGTTCAGAGTGTGAAAAAGAGACCCCTTTGGAATATCAAGGTGGCGCAGGATTAAGAAGACAGAATATTGCGCTACTATCTAAGCTGCATGTGGACAGATATGTCTCTAATATGAAAAATGATCTGTCAAGCGAGTGTAACGACACTATAGCTAAATTTTGTTGTCAGAAACCAATACCTATGTATAATGCCATAACCAGAACTCTAAAGCATCAAGCTGTAACAAAAATGATAGAACCTTGTACTTCGGATTGCTCGGTGAAGCCTGCAAAAACTTCCCTGAAGATATACGGTACACGAAGCAAAGAGGAATTACATGTACCGAATGACGTTGTAAATACTAAGAAAAAAATTTTAGGAGTAGAAGTGTGTATGACCATGGGTGACGATGACGAAAGAATGGGAAGCGCAGAAAGTGCTGGTAGTCACGACAGTATCAATCAAGAAATCCATCATTTCAAGCCGATCAAAGCAATGCCTAGAACGCCGTTAAAAATGTCAACAGGTTGGCACCATTTCTTTACTTCACGCTTACAGAAATTGCGTGTACTTACTAAATTAATTGTATAATATTGTATTCTAGATGGAAGACAAATAGATCCGAAGTTAATTAGAGTGATTCCTATCTTGAAAAGAATGTCCAATGTGATACCTAAACCTCCAGCTCAGGCACATTTGAAACGAATTATCGGCTGTTCGTGGAGTGCATTTCGAGGTACGTTAATCCTACGGTAGAAGAAAATTCGATGTAAAATGTAACACTTCCCACTTACATGTTTTTACTTCCAGGTAAAAGTAAACAAAGTTACAAAGAGAAAGAAGCATACAAGGAAGATATAGACGGGATCGAGCAAAAACCTTCAACGTCCTATAATCAGTCTCAAATTATTCCTAAAAAATTAACGAAAACTCACATCCACGACAACATACATAAGCTTGATTTCGTTTCCGAAGTGTCGTTCGACACTAATAAGAATTGGGCGAAAACTACGAATCGAATAATCAGCGATGCTAGAGTCACGAAAAAGTTAACATCGGAAGAAGGTGTGTAAATCTAAGCGTCAAAGAAATCTGTGGACGAAAAAAGATGTGAGAACTCTGCCGAATGCGAAATATACAGATGAAAATGAAACCAGAAATTCAACATCTTCGTCCGCTTCTGTAAAGCTTAGTTCACCCTGTGACGAGGATTTAGAGGTGCAAGCAGACGATGATATAACGATGGAAAACATCGCGGAAAGAATAAAGAGAAGGAGGACGAACGTGGATAAGAAGGATTCGAATGGAATTTCCTCGTTGAATTTGGAGTCGGAGGTGACCGCGAAAAAGAGTACAAGAAAGCGATTGTGCAGGAAAGAGGACCTCGGATACAAGATAACGGGCGACGTTCCAGTTATGGTGCAAAAGAGGAGTAGAACCAAGTGCATTAGGAATAATACCTTGTCGAAATCGAAACAGCGAAGAGTATGCCGATCGAAACAGTCCAGTACAGAAAGTTCGGAAAAAAGCGACGCATCGTTCAGTTCGAATTGCAACGCGACCAATTTCGGTTCGAGGAAAGCGACACGAAAGTCGAGACACGGGAACGGTTCCTCCGTGATCAGCGAACAGGATACGATGTATGGGAACGTGGATGACGGGAATTACAATTCGTCGGAATCTTGCAGCGAGCTGCACGAAATCGTGTCGGATAATAACAATACTACCGAAGTGGAAATGAATATAGAGGGCAATGTTCTGTCGGACGAGGATATCATTAAAGAACAGGAACGAATGGAGAGACTGGTTATACAGGAGAAAGAAGATTTCGAGCTGGCGCAGCGACTACAGGCAAAATTCGACGAGATGGAGCGAATAGCCGGTCGTACCAGACGATCAAGGAAAGCGATCGAAAGTGAAACGGTCCACTTAGATTTATACAAAATCGACGTTGGCCGAAGTGTACAGAAAACAATTGATTCGCATACTGCCAAATCAACGACCCACAATCTTACCGTGAACACAGAGGCTAAGAAACGCGGCAGGCCTTCGAAACGTGTGAAGTAAAATAAGATTCTATATCGGTCATTTGCATCTGAACCGCGAAACCTCCGAACGGATGTTCCTATAAATTGTAAAGGAAAAAACGAGAAAAAAGAAAAAAACGAGAAAAGGTTTGAATTTCTTCTTGTACAATACTTTATGTATCTTAATCGAATTGTTTGCGTGGCATCAAATACGTACCTGGATATGTTAATGCGAAACATAAAAGAAACAAAAATGAAGCAAGAGATATTGAATCGTTACAGAAAAATCGTTCAGCGACACGTGTATAAACGCGCACGCGTTTCGGAATATTTTCCGGTTCGATTTACCATTCGATGCTGTACGTCGAAGCAATTATACGCCAGGAAACTAGCTTTCTTGGAATATTTTACAATTTTTTTTTTTTTTTATAGTGTTCTTAGGCGAAACGGTAAACGATAAGAGAAACAGATGCGTCTATCATAAACGATGGGATGTATATACGAGATTAAAATTATAGCTTTAAAAGTCACTCCGTTTAAACGTGATGAAGAAATGCAACAGTATTTTACCGTTTCGTCTCGTCTCGCCTCGTCACGTCTCCTAATGGATATACGGTTGAATGAATCCTGCGAAAAGAGATTTCATCGTTGAATGATCATTTTGTTTGGAATACTACTTACTCCATTCTTTTACATAAGATACGATAAAACGTAGATATGATGAAACATATTTGTTAGTTTTTTCTATTTCTTCTCTGCTTCGAGAAAATAAAGGAATAACAGACTCCTCTCGATTATCCTCCTGAACTCGGGTCCGCGCCGGGACAATAATCGTATAGGGAGAAATGCTTCAGACCCTCGTAAATTCGTTTTTTTTTTTTGCCCGAAGTCCGAGCCTCGGCAAGAAAATATGCGTTTGACAAGTTCCACGGCCTCCCCTCCAGTGGTAGGGATTACGCCTGGACAATAATCGTGTACAACAAGCCAGACTATAATCGAGAGGAGACTGTAGGATGGGGGGAAAAAAAGGCCACCGTTTCGTGGGGCAGTTTGTGCGTGTAGGATTATTTACAGCGGCCTTTATTATCGTGCTACGGTCGAATAAATTTAAGATTTCAACTAAATCAGAGATAAACGATCGATCGCGATAAACAAGCAATCGATATATCGGCAACGGTCGATATATACTTGTTTTCCATTAAATCGTAGGAGCATGTACTGTTCTCGATTTTATCAATCGAGCATCGCGTATAGACAAGTATATTTTTTTACAGTGTTGCCTCGCATGACGGGTTTATGATGCTTCCAAGTCGTTTTCGTATATTAGCGTTAAGTACGTAGAAGGCAAGTAAGTCGAAAAAAAAAAGACGTAGGAAGTTTTAACAATTTTTGCAGGATTCTCCGAGCGTTTTTATGATTCCTCGTTGCTTTACAATTTTCGTCGATTTTTTAGTCAATTCGTCATACAGTCCGTGTATAATATACTAAGAAGAGTTCTCGTGTTCTTGTTTCGGTTGTAATTGGCAACAGTGCCACGGTATTTCGAAACCTCGGATCTGCGTGTTTGTCGTAAAAAAAACGAATTTACAGCTTATTTTAAACGTTTCTTCGTTAATTTTCATTCGCATAAAATGTGCTCGGACGTGTAATACGAGAATCTGAAGCCTTTAGTCGTCGGTACGTTGCTTCAGAACACCGCAAGTTTCGAACACAAGTATTCCTTACGTCATCTGTATTGTATTAGAGATAACGCGCGTATCGACCGTGTTCCTTGTACTCTTCTCGTTTCTTTTCTTTCTTTCGTCTTTATTTTATTCAACTGTACTCTAACCACTTTAACATTAGATGGATCGATAGCGGTTAATCGTACCGAAAATCTCGATTGCATTATTGATCGTCGAGGCTTTTCTTCGCCGTTGCAGCTACAAAAAGCAGAATATTTGCCAACTTGAAACTTGATTCGTGTCATTTAACAGCCGTGAACGAAGCAATAGACGTTGACGAAGTATTTACAGGTAACATCTCTGACGAAGTACGAACATTCGGAAGTTACCGGCCGCGACATGGAACGAATTCATGGACCAGAGTTGGGCGAAATGTAATCTAATCACAAAATCGAAATCACAATTACAATGTAATTGTAAGACAATTATAATTACATTGTAATGCACTATAGTAAATTTACAATAAATATTACGATGTAATTGTAATGGTAATTATCCCGTAATTACATTGCAATTACGTTGTAATTGAATTACATTTTGCTCAACTCTGCCACGGGCACGTTGAACATGAAACACGACGCGGAATCGAGAAACCGGCAATAAAATTTCATATTTCGTTACTTCGAAACTATTCCTAGTACTCCGTCAATACCGATAGTCTTTCACGTTTTTGCTTTTTTTTCTTTGCTTTCAAATGATTCGAAACAGATATGGTATAATAGTCGGTTGAATACACTGTATTGTACGTTTGACAAAAAGAAAGGTATATTTGTAACATTTGAAATATTGCGCGAGGAATATTAATTAATCGCTCCGATATATATGTGTTTTTGTGTGTGTGTGTATATATATATATATATATATACACACACATAGACATACACGAGAATAATCGTACCGATTATATGCGCATCGGGGATAATATACGCGTAAAAAATGTAACGAAATAAATGCAGGAAAAAAATTTCGAAGGCGGTACGAATGTATAGAAAAAAAAAATATTTACGTGTAGATCGACATGAAGATAGCGTCGATTAACATGTGTATTAGCGAGGAATGACACGGGATGTAAGTACGCACTAGATTTAAGCACGAGAACGGAACACCGTATAGACACGATAAGGAGAACGCATAACACGGAGTTTAGGAAAGAAATCATTTTTATATACGTTGCACGGTTTGCAATACAGAGAATGTATCGGGAAAGACGAGGTTCTTTCTGGTACGTTTTACATGTGAAAACTAATAAATAACTGTAACTATCCTACGAAGCGTTTTTCCCGCAACAAATATTATTTTTTCTTTCTTTTCCAACAACGCCCATGATGCCTTAAAGACGCCTATTTTAGGTCTAAAGCGCCTTTAAGCCGTCTTCAATGCATCATGTGCTATCTGGGCGGATAAACGTCGTCGACCGAGGTCAGCTCGAAAGCCATTGGCATCGTCTATTGGCAGAGTGGGCAAAATATAATATAATTACAAAATTTAAATCTCACTTACGGGACAGTTACAATTACATTGTAATTTTACAAATACATTGTAATTTTTATTGTAAATTTAGTATAGTTAATTACAATGTAATTGTGATTTGTCTTTTGTAATTAGATTACATTTTGCCCAACTCTGTCTGTTGGCAACTAAAAGCTCGATAGTCATTGGGAACCCTTTTCGTTGAACGAAAAGGTGCGAAAGTAAAACTGAACTAAGCTAAATGGTAAAAGAGCATCGTTCTCGGTCGTGGAATCCTGCTCGTTGAACGAGACGTAGTCAGCGCTTGTTCAGCTGAGAACATTGGCGTTACATCATTGGACAATCGTATCATAGTATGCTTTTAAGGAACAATGATAATGCGTATGCACGCGACAATTCGGTCAAGGGTATACGCACAGGTAGCGACGATTCCGTCGTCGCTTCCTAGATAGCACAAGACGCCTTTTAGGTCTAAGGCGCCTTTAAGCCGTCTTTAAGGCGTCATTGGGCGTCGTGTGCTATCTGACTTATACTTCGTAAAATCTCAAAAAAGGAAGGCTTCAGTGGAAAACGTAAACAATAATTGGTGACCAAACGAGAAAAGATTCCTTATCAATTTTCGATATTCCTTTCGTAGGCAAAGAACGCCCCCATGAAGTATCCCGTAGCAGGAGTACAGCAATACAATTCTACTCGATATATGCTACCAAGCACGTTAAAAATAGTGTACAGTTTGTATCATAGGGAATCGCGGCGAGGACAATTATTTGCAATATCGCTGTCGAGTGAGTGACTTGTTGGAATAGACGCGGAGGAATGCGCAAAATAATACGACGATGTATTTATTGTACGCCACTTTCTCCGTTCACAATGTTAACATGTATTACACCTTTCTAAACGACGAAATTAAACGGTTTCGCCAATTCGCGCAAAAATGTTCTTTCGCCGCTTTATAATTCTTCCTTCGAACTCAGACGAGGCTGAAATCGCGAATAAAAGCGAGCGAGACACCTTCCCCTGTAATTTTTTCTCTTACCCCCTACGCCTGTCGTTTTTTGCATTCTTCATTTCGATACAATTCGGTCCCAATATTATTTACTACGGACAAAAGTCGTACTGTGCGGGAATTCAAAGAAAATAGGGAGAACGACAGTAGTGCAAGAGAGAACCCCGTGTAAGATAGGAGAGGACAGGACGGAACCACGGCGGTTGCAACGTGACCGAAAGACCACGTGATCGTGTTGGCCAATTGAAAGGTACGCGGGTACAGTGGTCACGTTGCACTCGGCGTGGTTCAGATTCCCCCTTGCTCTTACTCTATCTGGCTCTCCTTTTCTATGCTTGCTTTTAAGTTGTACGATCGCATATGCGAACGATCGTTCTCTCAGTGTGCCGCGTTTCTATCCGCGAATTCCGTCGGTGTTAATCCCCGGAAACATCGAATCGTTTCTTCGATCGAGTTTTTTTTGCTGGCCTGTGTTAAAAACGCTGGTCCTTAACAATGGGACGTGTACGGTAAACGTATTTGTGCCGAGATAAGTACCAGAGTGGAAGTCGTCCGCGAATTCATCGTGTTTGCGAGTGTTTGTAACCGATGGTGACTGCGTGGTGAACGGGTGGATGAATTCACGAGGAAGCGCGACTACGAGCGCGCTTTCAAGTGCGTGGCTTCTTCTTCCGTGGATACATATGTGGTGTGGTGCGTGTCGAACCTGCCTTTAACCCCCCTCCCCCCGCCCCATTCCTGCCCACGCGCGCGCGTATAGCTGCTTCAAAGATATAGGGTCATTCCACGCGAATTCGGACACTTTTTGGAGCACCATTTTGGATTGTGTTTTAATATGGATATGTTGTAGTCTTTAGCGATATATAAACGTATCCCGAAGGATTTTTGAAAATTTAAAAAATTGTTGATTTTACAGCTGTTTGAAATTTAGGGTCAACCTTTTTTCAATGAATCATATTGAACTAACAAACTGATCGAAATGAGCTTTGCGGGTACTTACAGTGGAGACATAAGAGTACCAAATAAAAAGTATTTCAGTTAAAAAATGAGGATATAGCCCTATTTGCCCTCTTTATGGACATATACCGTTGGCCATAAACCTGACTGACCCTAAAGTTTATGTGTTTGGTAGCCTAATCCTGCCATTCGATATCCTTCAGTTGAAAAACTGTGCTCGACTGTTGTTCAGGGACCTACGACGTCAATTTGGGATCAGTTTTTCCGTTTTAATGTAATTAAAGACGTTCTTATAGAGTAACCTTGAAGTATATGTCTGAGACAGTTTTTTTTGTACGTAGGGTAGTGTATCGGAAAAAATTGCTTGAATATTTGTATTATGTTGATATGTAGTTTACCATTGATGATCTCGGTTGTTTGTAATATTATCAATCAACGTTATCGTTTGAAGCAAATAGAAAAGGGGACAACGATACCTTACAGTACATGAGACACGGCTGCGGAAAAGTTGCCACGTGAGTAAACCATTGCAAAATCTTTAACCATGGGATTTGTAGGTTGCAATCGTTTAAAAGAAACTGAAACTCGTCTTCGTCGTGTGACTTGTCAATATTCGTCTACTAGTCGTTGCCTCCCCTTCTCCAATGATCCTTCGTCGGTTTCTAAACAGCTGCTCACAGGACACACGTAATTGGTGCATTCCACTGTTTTATGTAAACGTTGTCGAAAGTCTAAGGAGACGCGTTTTTTGATTAATAGATATTAACGCGCGAAACTGTGACCTGGACGATTAGTATTTCATTAAGGCAGGAGTACTACCTCTCGCCGTGTTATCGAGTATAACGTTTACAGTCACATGGAAGTAACTGAAATGAGAAAATGGGGTGTACTGAGCGGGAACGTAACGACAAAATCGACGTAATCGATCGAGTCACGGTACGGAGTACACAGGGACTGTTCTATCGACTGAACGACGATCGAGGGATATCGAGTCGTAACAATTACGTCACGACCTATCGAGAGAAAAGCGATTATGTCAGCAGGTCAGCGTGGTAAGACCTCGTATCTAAACCTTGCGTCTGTCCGTTTTCGTGCGACAAAGAGCAACTACACAACTAACTTTGAAATTGTCACATGCGTCTGTTGGGTCCGTAATATTTATCAGGCTTCTTCCATTCAAACGCGCGGCCATGGTTAACGTCTCGAGAATTCGTTTGGCTCTTGCATAAATCGTGTAAAACAAAGTTCAAGTTTATTGTGACTCCCGCGTTCGAGTACTAGATAGTGTATCCAGAAGTTGTCTATATTCATCGAAACTATACTATCGAAAATATTCGATATAAATTACTGGTCTAGTTATTATTAATATAAATTTCCTACCCCAACAGTTTTTAAAGAAGAAATAAACGAAACAGTGATAAGTATTGCGATGAGTTCAGTCGAAACTCGTAAACAGTCGACGAATCTTTTGATCTTTGTTCAAATCGGGAGTCTTAAATGTAAAATGCGTTCTTATCAGATTATTCGGTGACCTCACCTAATGATTCGAGAATTTATTGCCCCCATCGACCTGTGTCAATATTCTTTGGATTACATACTCACCGATAATTCACCCCTCTTTTTTGCCTTCTTCGTTTCCACGAAGCTGCTTGATCCGAGCGTATATTCTTTGGATAATTACAAACCTGACCACGCACCGTCGTCGCTACGAATTATCTTTGACGTTCGAGCCAGTCAAGCGTGTATACTAGGTTAAGTAAACAAGCCTCAAAATCGCGACATGCGATGTAAACTTTCAGACCTTGACAGTTGAACACTCGCGTTTAGGGGACAATTGAAGACTCGCATCACGGACGAAAAGCTGCACGTTCGATCGAACGATTATTGTTCAGTTACATTTCTTTTCTTCATATCTCTCTTCTATTCGTTTCTTTTTCTTCTTCGCTCTGCAGAAACGTTGCGAAGTTACGATATTTTTAGTGGCGCGGCGACCGATAAAAACTTGTACGATTCAAAGTCGGCGGGAAATTTAAACTTTCTCGAGTCGGTACGGTACAGAAATCGAATGACTTTCTAATTGGCGGGGACGTGTGGGAAATTGGTGAAAAAACATTTTTGCCGGCGAATCTTGACGTTTCGAGAAACGTATTCATTACGATCGTGCACATAATTATATAACGTTCACTTTCAGGCAGGATTGAGGCGAATGATACATGCATAATTACGGGAATCGATCCAGAATTAATCTGTAGCTAACGAAGTTGGACGAAAATAAAAATGTATTCGGAACTGTGATGTTTGTTTTCCATTGCACCGACAGCGGTGTTTCGTGACGCGATGTCTTCGGTACGATTTTAACCTATACTCGCATGGGGTTATTGTAATTTCGATGTCTTCATAAATGCGTAATTCGTGCCTGTATCGTAATCTGCCCGTATAGCTTGCTACGTAATTAGATCTTCTTTATGAGAGTCTGGTAATGGCTGACACAATGCGACTAGTTACACAAAAAAGAATATATTGGGTTCCTACAAGACTATATTCGAGCAGTTTTGCACAAAGTGAGTAGCGAGTAATTGAAGGTTAAGTTACGAATCTCGAAATATGCATTCGACGCGGTAAAACATTACTTCCCAGATAGCACATGACGCCCAATGACGCGGACCTGCGTTCGGGAAAATAATCGAGAGGAGTCTGTATAACCACCTGGAATTTCATACGCTCGCTTTGACATACCACTCTTGTGGTTCGTAATATTCAATATTTCTTTTTTTATTGTAAATCCCCACATATTTTCGTTGTTTATCGATTTAGTGACATCGAAGTGTTTTAGACAATTCCGTCTGGTCTCCGACAAGAGCCTACGGAAGAAGTAAACTTTTTCTCAGTTGTGATGGAAAATTTTCTCGGGAAAACTTAAAGAAAACCGCATGTTCGCTGCAGATACATACGTGCGCGCTCGCGATATACATTCACGACAGATTATCCTCCAGAGACACTGTTCTTTTTTTTCCTTTTTTCCATAAACAGCGCAAAGATTCAATCGAGGGAACAGTAAATCGATCGAGCTCGGTCCCGACCTTGATGACCTAAAAAACGTCGCCTCTCCGTACACCAGAATCGATTCGTCAGGATGACGGTGCTCGGAGGCTGAGGGTACTGTTCGGCTAGGGTTTCGAGTGAACTGCACGACGCGTACCTACGTCGCATCGAATCGTCGTCTCCCGAGGGAACAAGAAAAGAAGAGTCGGAAAGAAAAACGCGGAGCAGAGGAATAGAAAGGGGGGAGTCATCGATTCCCATCTTCCTAAAAAATGCGCGTATTCCTAATTGAACAGGGATCGTGATTGCATCGCGATATAAGTTCGTGGCTTGAGAAGAAAGCAAAGGACAGTTCGAAAAGTGTAAAGGACGCTTTTGATCCGCCAAGAAGAAGAAGAAGGAACGGTGACGAGAACACGGGTGACGGTGGAGTAGGGGGAGGGGGAGAGGGGAAAGATGACGGGCAGTCGTAATAGGGAAATAAACTCGGAAGTAGGGGTTCGCGGGGACGGCGAGAAGCACACGGTTCATTGGTTTCGTAAAGGCCTGAGACTGCACGATAATCCATCGTTGAGGGAGGGTCTTGCCGGGGCATCCACGTTCCGGTGCGTCTTCGTTTTGGATCCATGGTTCGCTGGGAGCACCAACGTTGGCATCAATAAATGGAGGTGAGAGGTGGTAATATTCTTGTGGTATAGGTAGTGTGTATAATAGGTATTTTTGTGAAACAGTTGTTGACATGTTCGATAGATTTTTGCTGCAATGCTTGGAAGACCTCGACTGTTCCCTCAGGAAACTGAATTCCAGGCTGTTTGTGATACGTGGACAACCGGCGGACGCTTTGCCGAAACTCTTCAAAGAATGGGGCACTACGAATCTGACCTTCGAGGAGGATCCAGAACCGTTCGGACGCGTACGGGATCATAATATTTCGGCGCTCTGTAAGGAGCTTGGTATTTCGGTGGTCCAAAAGGTCTCTCACACTCTGTACAAGTTGGACGAGTGAGTTTGTGTATATGTATAGATACCGTTGTAGATTCGACTTGATCAGTTTAGCTCCCGAGGTTCGCTTCTCGTCGATGTTTGCGAGCAGTTGCGTTGAAACGCTGGGCTGATGGAAACATCGATGCTCGAGGGTTAGAAAACCAATTACGGTCTGTCCTGAATGTGTTTAATAACCCTAGTTATTCGGCGCTGTTATCTACATTCGAAGCGTACACGTCTCGTTGCGAGAGAAATAGGATTAACGTTGACGATCGATCATGATCCCGACGCGACAGCTTGATCGGACCGTGTTTCAGGATCATCGAGAAAAACGGAGGGAAGCCGCCGTTGACGTATCATCAATTCCAAAATGTCGTCGCCAGCATGGACTCGCCGGAACCGTCGGTGCCGACTGTGACTTCCGTCTGTGTCGGTTCCGCGTACACTCCTTTGAAGGAGGATCACGACGACCATTACGGCGTCCCGACGCTCGAGGAGCTTGGTAAATTACTGTTCCTGCGAGTTACTCTTTACATTCGGCCGCTTGCGTAGAGAGCGTAGGTAGAGCGGCCGAAGCGAAGAAGACAGAACGGATGTTCTCATGGGCGTAGTTAGGGGCGGGGGGGGGAGTCAGGACCTTCCCGTTGGACAGAAAAAAGTGGGTTCTGTACTACTTTGGAAGAAAAAAAAATGGATTTTGCCTCCCCCCCTCTAGAAGAAAAAAAATCGGATTTGGCCTATCCCCTAGGATAAAAAAATTGAATTTTGTCTCCCCACCCCTTCGAAGAAAAAATTGGATTTTACACCCGCCCACCTCTTTCGGAGGAAAAAAATTACATTGCCCCCTCTGACTGATAACCTGACTACGCCCATGGACGTTTTATTGTAAGCGACGAAAAACAGTAAATTATTCGAATGGTTGACAGGCTTCGACACGGAAGGGCTTCGACCACCTGTGTGGGTGGGTGGTGAAAGCGAAGCGTTGGCACGGTTGGGTCGGCACCTCGAGAGGAAGGCTTGGGTGGCCAGTTTCGGCAGGCCGAAAATGACCCCGCAGTCCTTGTTGCCCAGTCAAACGGGTCTATCGCCGTACTTACGATTCGGATGCCTGAGTACCAGGCTATTTTATTATCAGCTCACCGATCTCTACAAAAAGGTAGAATGCATAATAATTGCTCAACGTCAGGCACGGGGATTAAGACATTTTGAGGTCCTCGATTCCTCGATTCTACCAATTCGAGGGCCCCCTTCGTTGAAAAAAGGAGGAGGGGGTACGCTGTACGCCATTCTATTAGTAACTTTTATTTTACCAATTATTTTGTGACGAAAATAGAAGGTTCAGAACGGGGCCCTTGGATAGTGGGCCCCGGGACTGCAACCCCCCTAGATCTCCCCTTGATCCGGCACTGCATGTTATGTATCCCGAAAGAACCTTTTACAATTACCGGTGCCCGAAACACTCAGTCCTGTCACTTGTGTGCCAGGTCTGGGTGTTATCTATGTATGGGACTTCGGTATACATATATGTAACAGCGTTCGACGCGTTACAGATCAAGAAAGCCGTGCCGCCGCTCTCGTTGCACGGTCAGCTTCTGTGGCGCGAATTCTTTTACTGCGCCGCTACCAAAAATCCGAATTTCGATCGGATGCAGGGTAACCCGATTTGCGTGCAAATACCTTGGGACAAGAACGTCGAGGCGCTCGCCAAGTGGGCAAACGTGAGTGAATCGTCGAAACTATACAGGGTGTAAGAAAAGTGTTGCAGGTCCCTGAACTGGGTCACTCGTAAGGCAATTTGGAAGAACTTTTTCCTTAGCGAAAATGTTATCCGAGGCTTTGTTAACAGGGCCAAACTGGATTCCCGTGGATCGACGCGATCATGACCCAGTTGAGAGAAGAAGGCTGGATCCATCACTTGGCTAGGCACGCTGTCGCTTGTTTCTTAACCAGAGGCGACCTTTGGATCTCCTGGGAAGAAGGAATGAAGGTAAAATGTCGCCTTGCCATTACGTTGGCATTTCAATCAACGCTTTTAACAACAATCCTACCGACCGACGGACGTGTTCATGGCCTCCCTTTTTTCTTGTTCTCGTCGTCGATCGCTACAAATTACTTCTACCATCGATGAACGTTGAACACACCGCGAAATAAATATATCATTTTCACTGGTGACGGGAATATGCGATTCACGTTTCTTAAGGTGTTCGACGAGCTCCTGTTAGATGCAGACTGGTCGGTAAATGCAGGAATGTGGATGTGGTTGTCCTGTAGCTCCTTCTTCCAGCAGTTCTTCCACTGTTATTGTCCCGTGAGATTCGGCAGGAAGGCCGATCCGAATGGAGATTACATCAGGTAAACCAGCTAATCTATACAGGGTGCGGCTGAATAACATGTACAAGCGGGTACGAGGCGATTCCTTATTAAAAAATAAAAACAAAATATGGAATAAATTTTTGTCATTTAAGGTTTAGCTTTCGAAAAAATCGACTTTGAAAATTACTCTGAAACACGTGTATTCACTGTAATAGTAAGTAGAAACGGAATGCAATGAACAGACGCGCTAGCCCAGTCCTATTCAATTACTCCTGTATCTAACAGATTTTCAAAGTCGATTTTCTCGAAAACTAAACATTAAATGACAAAATTTTATTCCATAGTTTGTTCTTATTTTTTCACAAGAACTCGCCTGGTACCCGCTTGTACATGTTAGTCGGCCGCACTCTGTGGTCGAGTTTCACTGCGTTTTGCCGCGAAATTCGTAACAGTTTTTTCTGTTTCGCAAACGATTCGCGAACATTCGTGGTGCTCCACACTCGATAAAAACGGACGATTTTTCTCGGAACAACCTTGCATCCGGCTGCAATACCAGACGGTACTTGCCGGTTTTAAAAAGCTTCCCCACGAGATACATCCACGAACCGTGGAACGCCCCGCTCAGCGTGCAGCGAACCGCCAAATGCATCATCGGGCAAGATTACTCGTTGCCGATGGTCAATCACAGCAAGAGCTCGAGGATCAACATCGAAAGGATGAAGCAGGTGTATCAGCAGTTGAATAAATATCGTGGGAACGGTGAGCATGCGATCACGATACCGTTTTCGGGAAAGGAAACCGGTCGTCGCACAAGTATAACGATCCTCGTACAAAATTTAAAAACAAAACTTTGCTTAATTAATCCCAAAGTGTCACCATACACAAATGTTTCATTGGTATGGAATAATTATAAGAGTTCATTTAAAAACATGGTGACATTATTAGAAATTGCGGCTAGTGTATTAGGGGTTTTAGGTCGTAAATTGATTAGTTTAGAAGCTATGAATATTGTACTAAACGCCCATATACATATATTCGTCACACTGTGCTTCGTATTTATGTCGAACTCGACATGGTTCTCGCGAGAGTATCCTCTTATATTACTGTTACAGGAGCTTCTCTTAAAGGAGAGACCGTTGGTGAGTAATATTTCTGTTCCTTAAAACATCTTTCACGGTCTCGCGAATCTATGTAAACGCCCCACATTTTACAAGGCCTATTGAACACGTTACCACCGCCACCGCCATCATCGGTGGAGAACGAAGACGAGAAGAAAAAGAAGCAACCATCGACGCCACTGGAGAATCAGTCAAATATGGAGACTCTCGGTTCGACGATGCAGCAACAGCATCAATAACGGGGACATCTGCGGGAACGTGTTTTCCTTTTATTTATAATTGTATAATTTATTCGTGTAGGATCTCTATCCGAGGTCATTTCCATTGCCACTCGGCCAAATCGTCTCTCTTATAGTCGTAATCACGACTTTTTCGACACGCTTGAGCGTTGAATTTATCGTTAAGAAGACTCCACGGGAGATTATGTCGCTGTAACGATTGGTGATGTTCCCATATGATGTTTGCATATGACGACTTGAAGACGCCCATTTTATGGCTATTTTAGGTCTAAGGCGCTTTTAAGGCGTCATTGGGCATCATGTGCTATCTGGGAGTACGGATATACATACGTCTCAGACCGCGTTGTGCCGCGGCAAGAAATACAGACTCCTCTCGATTATTGTTCCGAACTCGGGTCTGCACTGGGACAGTAATCGTATAGGGAGAAATGCTCCTAACCCTCGTAAATTCGTTTTTTAAAAGTTGCGCTTGACAGGTTCCACGTGCTCCTCCCCGGTGGTGGGGATAACGCCTGGACAATAATCGTGTAGGAACAAACCAGACGATAATCAAGAGGAGTCTGTACAACGTTTATTTTTGGATGAAACGAGTAGCGATGACGCTCAGTTCATATACTTATCGGTGTACATAAAACACATGCGTCGTAAATAGAATTTTTATGTGAACTCGTCCGACGATTCTTTCCAATGGGTTTCCGTGTTTCTTCCAATCCCACGGTCCGTGCTCTACCGTAGGGCCCTGTCTTCTTTGCCTATAGGTTCCCAAAATGGAGGGGCATTCTGGTTATTTTATTTTAAATCTAACTCTTTAAGATTCAAAGATTATACAGACGACTATACTTGGAAAATTTGATAATAGAGATAGTTTACCGGAAGGAGGCTGAACAGAAAAAACCTTTAAAAGGGGGCGGTAAGTCGAAAAAGTTTGGGCAGCTATGGTCTACACCTACAGTGGCCTCTAACGATATTTATTATTTTTGAGTTTTGAAGCATTTCACTAACAATATCTATCTTTAAAAGCAAACTGTGCCGAATAATTATGGAACATACCAAGTTTACAACAAAGATATAAATATTTAGATTGCGGGGGCGACTTTTGGCCACCCCCTAAATCGATTCGCCACCATTGGGACCCTGGTAAGAGTCCACTGTATTTATTTAGAGTACGATACATTATTCACTTACCTTGACAAATAGAGATTCCGGAAAATTTATTTTCCCCAATTGGTTCTCTTCGTTACTAGATCGGAGTTGGAAAAAACGCCAACGCCGTGGCAACGCGACGACACCGGCACCGTGCGTTGCGAATAAAACGTCACGTCACTCGGTGGTGTTTTTATTTTTTCATGTCAACAAATGATATATTTTTAGTGCCTATAGTACTTATAGTTTTACAGTACATTTCTCATTAGATTTAAACAATTACAAATGAACATTCTCCAACACTCAAAGACGGAACCCTAATAATCTCTGCTCGTTTGCAAGCTACTCTTTCTCACTTCCTCGTTTTTTTTTCTTTTTTCTTATGTTCACTCCTTCTCTCGCGCTGGCACGCACACGCACACGCTCACGCATACAACGCACGCTTAATTTCCTCTCGCCGCGCATTCGTTCGTTCCAATGGCTTCGTTTCCATTTGTCCCGATCCGACGTTCGCGGTAGCGCGCGCGCGCGCGCTCACTCTTAACCTAAAGGTTTTTTCTGTTATTTTTCTTTTTATTAACGTATTATTTTCTTCTCTCGCGTCTCGTGTGTATGTGTGTATGCGCGTGTGTGGTTTGTGTGTTTCGTTTCTCTTCTTGCTGACGCAAAGATGAAAAAAAGTTCGCGAGCATCGGGCGGTCGCGGGTGACGTATCTCCGAAATGCGTAACGGTATATTGCTCGACAATTATTTGGACATATTTCTTACGACGCCATTCTATTGGCAGTAAAATGAAAAAGGTTTGACGAGGTCCGGTCGCTGGGCACCGTTCTACGAAAATGGTGACGTTGCACGTTCGAGCCAACTTTTCTCGATGTATCTATCTATAGTCAAATCGGAGGAAGGGAGGGAATATACACGAAATAAACTCGGAAATATACTCGAAACATCAATTTACGGAACTGTTCCGTGTTCCGTTCGGTGAATTATATACATATATATATACACAGTAGGGTGGTGCTAAAAATTCAACTTTTGCAATATTGCTTGGGCACCTTTCATAATATTTTAGAGGGACCTGCTTATTAATATTTTCAACGAAGAATCCATACACTAACTCGGATTTATAGAGTATTTGTAACAGTGTTTGTTGCTGTTAGTCAAGCAATTCCGACAGAAATATCCTTACATTAAGAAATCGTGAGCTGTAATAACATTCCAGTGTTAAATAAACGCGTTAAAAGATTATAATATGTCGAAAAGAACAATGCCTTCTTTTAACCGCTCCTCTTACTTAACTGAAAAGTATAAAAATACCACCGTATTATTACAAAAAAAATAGACGTAATAATTCTAAACGTACCCTTGCTCATAAGGGTGAACATATTGACAGGGGTGGTTCGTGGAACAATACAAAAAAAAATTGTTTTTAATTAAACAAGCACCACCCTAATACACAGCTATATGTATTTCGCTTTGCGAATCAATGTATACGTATATACCGTGAATACCAGAGTTTCCGCGCAAACGGTCCCCGGAGGATCGTAAACGTGGTTCATAAATTGACGTGCACCACGGATTCTTCGTTTTCAAGAAAACGACAAATGAAAGACGGGAGCGATTCTGCGTCACGATTTTTCTTTCATTGAATCGTATCCAAAAGTCGCGAGTGGGAAAGGAAAGGAAGAGTGACGGAAAACACAAAAATTTCTCCGAATGTGAACCACTGAGTTGATTTCAAATGAAAACGGTATCGAATGTTTCAGAGAAAAGGAGCTGGTACGTACGATTCGAAGTCGATTGGTCTATCCGTTCGTCATTCCAACTGGTCCTCGACGAGAGCTTTAATTTTCCGGTGAATCCCATTCAATTCGAACTCGGGGGAAAAACCACATTCTTCGAATCCGATTCCTCTTTTCTCGCAGTCCCAGTTTCGTTTTCTTACGAAGGAATCAAGGTATTCCGTTTGAAAACGACCACACACACACAATCAACTTGAACGGAACTCGCGCGTTTTAACGATCGAAAATGTCGTTTCCTTGAATTTCGCGATCGGCCATGGTAACGGAAGCGTGATCGACGTTGGAGTTCGACACGTGTTCGATCACGTGCACGCCTGAACCACGCGTCCGTGGCGTATCGAGTCTGTAGCTCGTCTAGGAAACGACAGAACCTCGAATCGGATCGATAACCTAATTAATTAACTACTAGTCAACTCTGGTTCAGGGTGGGGAGGGTGGTTAGTTGGTGCTGTACTAGTCGATTAATGCGGGCCCGCGATACCAAGACGACGTACCTCGTAGGAATGCATTTGGAAAACACATGGGCCGGGTCGGGGATGCGAGAATCGATCGAATCGCTGACAGCCAAGTCGCTTGAACTAACCTCGACAAAGTCGAACGTCAGGCGACGAGCACGTACTAGTGATGGGCGATATAGTATCAATATATAGAATTATCGATACTTCTGAATCCAAATATCGATATTTTGTATCGAAACTTGACTCAGGAATATCGGAGCTTCGAAACAACTGTACAAAACTGTTCTTATTCATTCGAGTGTACTAGATTTTCCCACGTTGAGATAAGTCTATATATCAGGTAGCGATAATGGCAAATAACAATTGACGCCATACTGATGGCATCGACAATCGACACCATTTTATAGCCATTTATTTAAGCCTTTCTTTTCAGTACAGATTACAGATGAGTTAAAAGTATTGACAATCAATACCGACGATATCAATACTTCGCATCCGATATTTTCACCATCGATATGTATCGACACGAAATATCGATACAATTGACATGTATCGTCCATCACTACCCCACGTACGTTCTCCATATCGAAAGCGACCTGGGCACGTGCAAGACCACGCGAACGTCATTTAATTGGCCAATTAATTACACCAGTTTCACCTGCCCCTCGTCCAAGCAACATTGGCTATCCGACTCGGTGCGGTTTCGATCGTTAAACGCGAGAAATACGGCCCGGTTGGTGAAGACGTCGTTCGTCTTGGCGAAGAATTCGACAGAGCCGATTGAACGAGACGATCGATGGACGAAGGAAAGTTGGCTCGAACTGGGAACCATGGAGAAAGATAAGTGGTCCATGGTTGTTTTCAAATTAACACGATTCTTCGAATAGGACGGAAAGAGAAGGAACAAGACGGAAAGGAAGCGAGGTTAAAGTTTTTTCCCGCGATTCCGTCGCGTCGCGTCGACTCGAATCGAATCGATTTCGAAACGAATCGAATCGAATCGAGTCGGTTTGGGGTACGCGTCGTTCGTCGTTCTGTTCTTTGTTGCCGCGCCGGATTTCGGAGAAACGCGAGTGTGCTCGATCGGAATGCACGCACGCTCGTTCGATCACGGATTTCGACACCTACGAGAGAAATTTCGAATTTTCGCGGCTATGGTTTCCCCGTATGTTTGTCGCGTCTCTGTTTCGTTTCGTTCGCGAAAACCTTGGAAATCGTAAAGCCTCGCGGCAGATGACAACGAGAAAGATTCGTTCTGCCGTGGCTAACCTCTCGCAACCGACACCGAGATCCTAACCTCTCTGTTCCGTTTGCTTTCCATGAAAATTGTTTTCGTTCGTCATGGCCGAGCTTCGACGCGAATCACCGTTGAACGTACACGCGTAACCGAACGAGATTACGGACACGATTACCTTCATAATTACATTGTACTCGAT